GAAGTTCAGATGACAACCTGGACTGCACTTGGCATGTGAGGAGGGGAGGACACTGTCTTGTGGGTCTGAGCCCTTAACCTGTGGGATCTGATGTTATCTCCAGGTAGATATGGAGTTAAATTGTAGGAATCCCAGCTGGAGTTTTAGAAAATTGCTTGGTAAGAGAAAAAATCCTTACACATCTGGTATCCGAAGTGTTCTGAGTACCTACTATTCACTAAGAATACTCTTCAGATTTTCCTGATTACACATGGTAAGGAGAGAGTTGTAATAGTTATTAATTCTCTCCCACCAAAAGACACATATCATTTTGTGGGGGTGTCCCCCTAGAATCAGGAACAAGAGAGCTTGAATTTGCTAGGGGAAAGAAAATTGAATTTTCAAATCCACAAATCCCAGGGGTACAGAGTGAGTGTCACTTACATTGGCCCTTCTAACAGGGAGAATAAATAACTCAAGCCAATACTGAGATGCTCTGCCTGGTGTCTTTATATTTACTGCACTTAGAGAATTAATGTTGACAGATTACTCTTATAAGTGAAATATGTTTCTTCCCCAAAGACAGTGTATTTCTTATTAATTTACAACATATCAAAACTTTAGTTATAAATAAAATTGCCAATTGATAAATGGATCTTGCTAAAGGGTTTTATATCCAGCAAAATAGCCAGCCTGAAGGGAGCAAGTCTCAATAGAATACATGCAGTTCTAAATCCTGTTATCACATATTCTTTGGGCACACATTATAAAACTCCTAATGGTTGCCACATTAGCAAAATATATATGCAAGGAAAAGTAAAACCTGCTATGAGGCCACTGTTCAACCAGCATTGACAGCATCTTGAATGGCAGGGCAATTGTAGTTGATACATAATTCAATGAGCAATGGAAGTGGAGCATAAAATGGGGAGAATAGGGAAACCAGTGGGCCAGTGAAGAGACAATGGTCATTGTCTAGGTGAGAGATAAAAATGATCAACTTAAGCCATGGCTACAGGAAAAGTGAGGAAGGCACAGCCTTCTGCCAGAAAGCAGGATAGGAAGTTCACCCTGTCATTGTCCCCTAGAACTTCCATCTCTTAGGGGTGTGAATAAGAGCTTCATGAGTTGAAGGATAGATCCAGATACACATGACCTTGGAGCTCAGCTTTTCCTCCAGAGGCTTCTTTTTACCTCTGCACAGAGTTTGGGACTTTCTGGCACTCTTTCATACCCAGAGTAGTCTTCAGGCCTCAGACTCCACAATTATCCCCGAATAATTTATCTAGTCAATGTTTATTAAGTGACTATTAAGTGCATGACACAGATCCCTCCACATGGAACAAATTTCCTCCAATTTCTACCTGTCAAAATTCTATTCCTTCCCCCATTATCTAGCACAGGCCTAAGTCATATGTGCAAAGGAAACAATGAATTAAATTAAATTGGGATAAGCCCGATATTCTAAGGATAACTAACATGTTTTTGTTTCCTACAGGTTTAAGGTTCAAATACAGGATGTTTTTATGTTCCCATTTGGACACCCATCCAGAGGGTTAATTATAGTGTGTGGTGTTTTCCTAAAGATTGTAGTCCCTGAATGTAAAGTCAGAAAGTCAGGCAGGCATCCAGGTGTTGCAAAATGCTGAGTGATATTTTCTCCTCTTAATCTGCAATCCTGGCTGAAACCCCAGCCTATAAGATATAATACAAACCTCTTGCTGTTTTACTCATTCTAGTGAAATGTATTTAAACGTTGTAATTAAGCAATTCATTATTATACTTGGGTAAGTGCTTGCAGTATATGTCTCTTTAATTGATTTAAACAAGTTAGTAGGTAATGATTTTAGACTATCTGAATACACTGATTAGTTCATTTGTTAATAAAGGAGTTTCTCATCTGAACTTAGGCAATTGATACAGTTTATGAATACATGGCTCTAAGTTAAGGTATGGCTGTGTCTCACAGAACAGCCCCATAAAAAGTAAAAATAAGGTAGAACACAGAAACAAAAAAACAATGCAATCAATTGTTCTCTCTTATTTCCATAATGCCTAATATTCAGTTATTTGAAATTATCTGAATCATTGAATTTTCACTTTTAACTTAGAACTATCTTGGGTGTATCTGTTAAGGGGAAAAACCTATATAAGCAGGACATGTACCTGCCATATAGAGCAGTGATGATAAAAATCACATTTTATGCCTGACTGACAGGATTATTATTGATTATGGAAAAAAGCAGTACCTGAATATGTAGCCTTGTAAAATGAATCTACTGCTACCATATCTCCAGGCCATGTGAGTGCACACTTTGACAGTCTCAACAAAAAGGAAACATACTACATTGACTTTTTTTTCTATAAATCTCGGAGGGGGTTATTGTCATAAGTCTGGATAGAACTGTTCAGGGAATGCTTCTTAAAAGATTCTCTCTAAGTTTTTTATAAATATAGTATAACTGTCTATTGGACCAGAACACCAGTTAATGATATGTAATTACTGAAGCATAATTACTACACCAAATAATTTTAAAGAAGTTTTATCGCTGTATAAAAGATGACTAGCAAGTTTCCTAAGTGCCTTATATGTATCATTTTCTCCCTAAAGAAATAAGATGTTATGTATATATTGGAAGGTGGGACTTAATAGACAACCACTTTCCTTCCTTCCTTCTTTCCTTTCTTTCTATTTATTTTTTCATGATAGCTGTACATTTTATGGTTTGTACCAGCTTCAGTACAGTAAAGGGATTCTCTATATAACATAAAGACAAGGTCCTTCATTTTTTAGGAAGATATATTTAATGAGTGAGCAAATATGAGCATGTACTTAGCCAGATTATCCCTCCTGAGGAAATAAATTTGCTGCTCAGCAGGATAGGATGACTATGACAAGCAATGCTAGTAACAAGAAGAATCAGCTCATAAACACTGCTTGGAATGAGAGAAGTGCCTTCTCGATGGGCATGTAATTTCTCAAGATGCCATGTTACAGAAGAGGCTCACCTAAGGTAGCATCCTCATGTTTTCCAAAACTCAGGGTAAAATGTTAGTGAAAACACAAATAGCCTTCCTGATGGAATGAGGTATAAGCACTGCTGCTCATGGAGGAGTCATCTGGAGAGAGATATAGAAACATCAATGATGTTGGGACTCTGGAATAATCCCATATACATTTTCAATCAATAGCCAAGCAACTAAAAAAATTAATTTGAAGGAAGTTATTTTTATTCAATGTCTGTATAAGAAGACATATGTTTCAAAGAAACTGACCTTGAACACGATTATGTTCCTCTTGATCAGAGAAAAATTACTGGGTCTAATTGACAGTTTCGAATCATAGACAAGAGAGGACTTTTTCAAAAACACATGTCATTTTTCTTTTTCCCTTCCCCTTCTTTTGCCAGTGGCATGCTCATACTGTCACATACAGCATGCTTTAAAAGGAAACCACATGAACACCACACCCATTACTTTATGATTACCTAAGTCTTCAAGAACAGATTTGGTGGGATTTTAAGGGATTAGGAAAAGTAGATTCACGTAATTTTTACAATAACATGTCTTTAGCCCACTACCATATCCTATTCCAAATCAACAAGGATTGTGGTGAAAAGCTGGTAGAAAAATAAGGGGTGTGTGTGTGTGTGTGTGTGTGTGTGTGTGTGTGTGCGCGCGCACACACACATTATGTACAGCCTCTTCTTTTCAGCGTTCTTTACAGGGACAGGCATTAATATTCTAAGTACATGTGAGGCATGGCTTGGGCCAGCCAAGCACATATTCCTTGTTTTATCATTTTTACCTGTTACTTCACTCTCTAGTTTTCTCACTATTTTACCACTTGCCAAATTTCAACCTCAGGCACATATGTTGAGAAAACGATTTTTGCCTACCTGAGCCAAAGAAAGTGCCCAAATATTAATGGGTATTTATCTAGCAACAGAACCTGAGACTTAATAGAGGAGGACTTTGATTTCCAACACTAATATTACAATTGGTTGCCTCTGCTTTCTAATTTACAGCAGTATACTCTTCTCTTAGCCCTCAAAAAGTCTAGGCGAGTACAAATTTGGTTCTGATTACATAATTATGCTACAGAAGTATGGAAAAAAATCATCACTAACATCTCCAGGTGCTTAAACAGTTTGATAGACTATAGCCATTCTGCTATCAGCGCCCCCAGCTGTGTTGCTTAGCAACATTTTAATTCCAGAAGAACTGAAGGAGATGCAATCCCTGTGGAGAGGGAAACAGAAAGAAGAGGGCTGATGACAGATGATCTGACTTGTTTCTTCTAATATACTGTGAAGATCACTAGCTCTTTTCATGAATGATAAATTGACTGTACACAGATCAATGAGTTCAGCAATAAACTGAAACCAGGCTCCATGTGTAACGCAATGCAGACCAAGAGGCCCAGAGATTTCCTCATTTCGATGATTTGGTGTGTGTTCTCTTAAAGGTTCCACAGAACAACAATGATCTGAGCATTTGGTCATCCCTTGCCCTTTTGTGGTGTCTACTAATAAAAATGATTTTAGAAATGAATGCTTTAGCCTTTCTGTCACCACGTAGATGCAGCCAGGTGTCAGTAGTAATGCAGAATAAATGGCTCCCTACCACAGATTTTAAAACCCAAGATATGCCAATGACCATCTACCATCCCCCTGTCATAACCCAAGGAGGTCCACATGAAGGGAAGATTAGAATGAAAGGATGAGAGAGGGGAATCCACTTGTGAATCTAAGTGCCACTCCTATGGACACTGCTGAACTTTCCAGGCAACCCTGACAATGCCCACCATGTCTGAAAGATGTACTTAGACAGGCAACAATGTTCCCTGGAAAAGGAAAATTGCTTTCTGTGTCTACAGTATGCTTATCTCCAGCAGCCTGCTTTAGTTAGCTCCTTATCTTTCCGAAGAACATTTTATGTTGTTTATTGTTTTGGTAACTAGTTGCAAAGGTTATGCTTGCTAATGTTGTCTAATTGCATTTTTTTCCTTCTGTTTACAGGCATTTCAAAAGGCAAAACCTAAGAATAATTCTGTGAAGTAAGTTATTTTTTTATTAGTTGGAAATTTTAATTTGAATGGACTCTATGCATGTGAAAAAATGTCATAAAAGAGACCTTGGATTTTTAGTTAATCTATATTCATGACAATTGAAAAACAACAGAAAAACACATAAACAGAAATATCTCCACTAAGTCTGGGCTGGCTTTTATTGTTTACCTGTGGTCCTCATGCCAAAGTGCCCTAACTTGTGGCAAATAATATTATAATTATATTCAATGCATAGTACTTCAAGCCTTTGTGTTTTGCACATGCTAAAAAGATTATATTTTTAATTGCAAACTTTGGACCTATGACAGAGACATAAATAACTGAAAATGTGCCAAGTGATTTTCAGCCACTTCGCGAGGTTTGGCATCTTGGCATCAAGGCCTCGCAGCTCTGTTAATGAAAAGATCATATAGTATATTTAACCAAAGGTTTTTTCTAGCTAACAGAGTACTATTTCCAAGGCACTTTGTGGTATACTCTTAAATTATAAACAAGCTGCATGGCACTATTTTAAATATAGTACATCTTAGACATCCTGTCTTTTCCAGAAAGGAGACTTTCAAATTAAGAAGGATGTCTGTCTTGTCATTTGGGTTTGTGACATTTGATTGCAGTGTTATGTTTCATACCAGTCCTGCTAGTCATGTGGCCTAGAAAAGATCTGCTCTATCTGCTAGGTTACTATAGGTCTGGTAATATCACATCCCTAAAACATATATATTAATTTATCTCAGCTGACTTCCATTATAGTGGGTACCCAGTGCAGAAATGGGGAGTGCATTTATTTTTAATAGTTTCTGGGAGAATGAACCAGCTAATGCCAATGACAAGAATGGTGCTTGTGTTTTGCAAAAGAATTAACTTTTTCAAGTCACCAGGGTACTGTTCAGCATACAATTAAATGTAAATTCTAATTATTTTTCCAAAAGGTTTGGTGTACTTTGTTCTCAAATTGAATTTTTCTTAGGCCACAGAATATTCCTTGCTGGGCTTCTGTAGCCTCTGGAGGGCCATCTGTAGTCTGGAGATGTATTCTGCTGTAATCATCCTATGGAAGTAGTTTTAGATGCTGTGTTTTTCTCTAGATGTTCCGTTGGGGTTTAAATCTTCTCTGCTGCCTGACTTCTTTTCTATCTATGCCCAGAAAGCTTCTCTGCTGTGAACCCATGGCAGGTGAACTCCATGAATTAGAGCATGGTGCTAATAAGGCCAAGGCTAGGACTGTAGTCCCTGGGTAGCTAGTCTGACTGCACCCCTCCCTTTGGTCTACCCACATGCAGATGTGTGCCCCAGGTCACAAGGGATAGTACAAGTACTGGAGGAGGATATAGGCCCTCAGTGGGACAAATGCCTCCAAGTTCAAGCCATCTCAATAGGAAGTGAGTCCCAACCTCGTCTTTGCATGCACAGGACTGCCTATTGGTAGTGTGTGGGGCTGCATGAGTGGCTGGGAAGTGGGACTAGTTTTCTCTCTGCTCCTTGTGACGACTCAACCCTATAGCTAATTATGTTTTTATGGGCTCTTATTAATTCACAGTGCAACTTTAATGTCTAGCACTTTAAGGAATATTCTAAAGAGAAAACAGAAAAACTAGAAGAGCCAAACAATTAGTAATAGAATATGGAACTTTATACTTGTAAATATATTTGAAAATCTGCTTTGTAATAAACTTTTGTCACAGTCATCTGATAGAGGCTTAGAATTGTCTTCTAATATGATAAGATACTGTTCTCAGTGTGAGTTTGGGTGTCCTGCTGCACTGGGGCTCACAATACCTAACTCACTTGCCTAACCACAATCATTGGGGCACATTAAGTAGAGAGGTCTCTTCAAGACCTCAACTCAAGGACAGAAATTCCACATCATGGCTCAATTACACAGCCTGACAGTAGAGCAGAAGTGGAGTTTTAAAATGTTTGATGTATAGTGGTCCTCTTTCCATTTCTGATGTCTGCCACAGAATTTCAGTTATACACATTGCATGGGGACCCCAAGTAGAGTAAGGGTTCAATACATGTATTCTGAATGAATGAACAAGTAAACAAATGGGACACATCCCAAAAAATAGTCCTTTCAGGAGCCTGGCCTGGGAGGTTAATGAGACTGGTGGCTCTATATTAGTGGAGTATCAGATCAGAAGAGCCCATGTGTTCTAACTGAACAAATCTTTCAGTCTCTTATTCTTGAATCATGCCACATGTAAAGTATTCACATGTTGTTCTGGTTCATTCTGGCTTCTTTGCCTCTGATCAGTTACTGGCTTGATTTTTTATACAAGAATTAACATTTGATTGTTTGAGCATACAATAGAAAATGGGTAGTCTTTCTGGAAAAGTAGAGGTCTGGAGGCATCATTTACAAGTAAAGTATGAACACAGATTGGTGAAGGTGATCATATGTGAGATTGGATGTCATCTTCTGACACAGTGTTTAGCAGATGGTTGAGAAAAAATCAAAAGAATATTTTGTGACATGTGAAAATTATATGAAGTTCAACTTTCCATGTCTACAAAAAATGTTTTATTGGCACACAGCTACATTAATTTGTTTCCACATTGTCTGTGGCTCCTTTTGTGCTACAGTAGCAGAGCTGAGTAGTTGCAACAGAAATTGCATAGACCACAAACCCCAAAATGTTTACTATGTGTCCCCTTACCCGATAAGTTTGCTGAAACCTTCTCTTCCATGACTCTAAAGGTTAAACTATCAACCCTTTCTTTTTCTTCCCTTTAAAACATTGAGTAGGTATTTACTGAGCCCTTATCATTTATTCTGGAATTTCTGAGGCCGATGTACCACCCAATTCTCATTCAGTGCAAAGAGATCACTCTTAAATCACCATCTTTGATAGGGTGTGTTCACCTCATAAACCAGTGAACACATAGCTAGAGCATACTGCTAGTTTTCCAAGTTGTGTGTAGATGGATATATTGCAAAAGGTATATGCATTTTCTAAAATTCAGTTACTTCCCAATATCTAACTAAGGCTAAGTAAGCTTTCAATTAGAGTGATGGTAAATGATTCATAATACCCATTTAGTTTGTGTATGTTCTTGTCTAAAGATTTACATCCCCTTCCCTATTTCTCAACAACTTGTTTAGTTTATTTTTAATACCTTCATGGTTGTAAGTTTCTTTCATCAACATAGTGAGACTGTGGTACACATTAATTATACTCCATATAAAAGAAAAATTAAATTTATGCTTAGTGAATGTAAGCACATAAGATACTTGAATACACTAATGACTTTACCTTGAAACATTAAATATTACCTTTGAGGGTAAGAATCAAGATTAAATGTTCTTAAGATCAGTGATCAGGGCAAGAGATGCTGGTGTATTTCTCAGTCTATTGGAACCGTGCCAGTATCAAAGCTTGGTTAGTATGTTCAAACTGTGGATCTATAACATGTCAGAGAGACTTTCGTTTGTATATTCATGCTCTGCAGCAATTATCTCCAAGCTTTCATTGTGACAACAGGCCTGAGAGATGTACAGATTTCTTCTGCCATATGTGACTTATCACATACATTTTTTAAAAAACACATTTCTGTTATTAAGACATATGTGATAGTACACTTCTGCAAATGTGAATTGCTTTTGGCTAAAAGCCATGCACTAATAAGTTGAGCTGAATCTAACTGAGGTTGACATCTGTTACTCAGAGAAAGAGAGAGAGAGAGCAGTTGTCAAGCATAAAATTCATTCTTACTTTTACACTTTAACAATGTTAAACAACCTGGTTGTTGTTTTTCACAAATAAGAATCAGATTCCATTTATAGATATTGTGATTTCATTATTGAAAATGAAAAATAGCTGCAAAGATTTTCCTGGAACTGTGATAGATGATGAGGGAATTAAAAATAAATCTGACCCCAGCTAGATTGTTTATAAGGTTCTTCCACCTCTTATAAAAATAAAGTTTGCAATCCTGTTTTATAATTATACTTATTTTAGGAAATATTTGATGTTAAGGATTGATGTAGATGCATACAAGCACATACATTATAAATATTGCATATATAATACATGCACACATATATAATGTCTTTTCCCATCATTTCTTCCTTATATGTCTGTGAAATGAAGGACAAGAAGCCACCTTTATCCAGCATGGTGTTTCATGGAACAGATAATTGGATGCTCAAATCCTTGTGAAATAAAATGACCACATGAGGGTCTGGCCTCCATAGGTAGTTTTCAGAAACTTAGGGCTGAATAACTTATGTCCAGTCTCTACAGTTATAAGTGAACATAATATTTAAAAAGTCAACCTGGAAAGAAAAAAGAAAAAAAAGTCTGAAATTATAAAACATATCCTGTATCTCTTTTACTGTGTCATACTCAATGATTTTCATTAATTGCAAATGTCATGAGGAACAATCCTCAATGATTTTAAGGGACATTTAGGAGTAGGTCCCTCTGAATGAGATCCATGAAGCCAGCAGTTCCCAGTAAGCCTCAGAAGAGTACTGGGTAAGCCACCTGGCCCACTCATTTCAGTGAGGTACTAGATCAGTGTGCTCCCTATATCAACAAAAGTATAGTCAATCTCTAATCAGCTGTGGCCATTTTAAGGGTAGTTAAAAGAAAGAGGGCAATAAACCTCCTGTCTAAACAGCTGCATAAAAATTGTACCCTTTATGTTGTCCAGATAGCTATAGTGAGATGCAGAAAGTTCTAGCAATCATCTTCACAGCGAATGAAACTTGCAAAAATTTCTGGCCACCCTCTATTTCATGGATAATTGGAGTTGCATCATCTAGGCAATCTCAGATGAGACAACTAAGGTCCAGATAGTAGACTGTCCAGGACCCTAATATTCCAGAAATTCTCTCCACTTTAGACCCACTGCCTCATTCTCATCAATTCATTGTTGGTTTTTAAATTCATATTATCTAACTTTATATAACAGTTTGTTTTCTTAGAATATGGCATCAAATGTTTTAAAAATTTGAGTCAGCAAGTTTGTAGGTACTTTAAAAA